ATGGTTTTGAACAGGCTTTATATCTTAACTGCGTGTAGGAGGGTTGCCACACATTTAAAAAATGGAATTCAATTTTAATTAAAGGAATTTGGTAAGTGAATAAGGTATCACTATATGGGTGTCAAACAAAAGAGGTTTAAGAAGGTAGTAGTTCGGAAATATTTTTAAGAGGGTTGCCACCTATTTCAGAAGTCGAATTAAATTATTTTATGCCCAATTTATATGAACTATTAAAAATGGATGTCAAATGAAATATGAAATATTTATTTTGACAACTTAGAACATTTTTGATATGTTTGAAAGTTTCACCAGTTTAAAGGGTTAAATAAAAATAATTTAAAAAGTTAAATGAATTGAATTAAATCAATGGGAATGGGTATAAAATTGTTTATTTCAGAACTATATTTAGGTTTCCACGTGTTTAAAAAATAAAATTCCACTTAATTCATCAATTACTTGAAATGTTTATAACAATGTCATACGAAAAATATTTAAGGAAATTTTAGTGCGAAAATAATTTTTAAGAGCGTTGCCGCCTGTTTTGAAAGTCGTATTTAGTTTATTTATACATAAGCTAACTGAAATTTTAAGAAATCTTCAAATTAGACATTTAGAACTGTTTAGGGTGCCAGAAAAGAGCTGCCATCTGTTGAAAAAATTAAATTCCAATTATTTAATAAGTTAAATGGATTGTCAAAGGATGGATATCTATCGAAGTGGGTTTGAAAATAATTTATTTCTGAATTATATTTTGAAGAGTTGCTATGTGCTTAAAAAATCAAATTCAACTTAATTCATCTGTTAAAATAAATAAATAATAATATAAATTATCTTTATTTAAATAGGAATTTCTGTATAGATATAAAGATCCTAAGGAAGTTAGCGCTATTCCCAAGGCAAAAGGAAGCACTGCGCATTAGTTTCGTGAGCTTGCGCCTTCCTAAACTCGAATTCACAAAAGTGCACGGTCCCTTTGCCAAATAGAGGCAACAGGGACAGTAAACATCTGGGGTAAACGTGTTTCCAAGACCGACTAAGGAGTCCGAGCAGGCCAAGGTTAATGTAAGTGAACAATATATCGTCGTTTAAAGTACACAACCGCGTATCGTCATTCTGCAAAACCGCGTAACTGACATTTGCTGCCAAAAATTGGATTTGCTCACACAAGCTCTTGGCTCAATGCTTATCCATTCCATTCGTCCATTTGCGAAATATACAAGCCAGAAATGCGATTGTTTTAGAAAAAAAGATAACCATTTTGAAATATGAGTGTTTTTACTCTCCAGAAAATGACTTATGCAACCTCACATGCGCGGTTTTGCATTATCTTGATACGCGGTTTTGCATTTTGTTGATACGTGGTTTTGTACTTTAAACGACGATATGTACCTTCATATGTATGAGACAGTATTCAGTATGAGGGATGACCCTACACTTTGACATTAGGGCGACGCTTCTTGCTCTGAAATCATATACGGTTACCTCAAAGCCGATATGGGACTGCATTCAGCTTTTGATACTGATCGCATCCACGAACCAGGCTTACCTCACTTTGGTGCCGGTAACGACAGATCTGGCTTACTTTAGATAAGATACAGCCCACTCTCACAAGTCGGGATGCGACTACTTCTCCGACAATCTACATAAGTGGGGCTATTTCAGGTCACTGCCTGAAAGTAGTAAGCTCTACAGTTGTATCCCTATTTTGTAAACTTCATCAGAGAGAGTATGAATGTAATAAACATCTATTACGGTATCACAATGCGCTCCCTGCGGCCTAAATGTGATATAAAGAAGTTTTAAAGACTTTAGATGAGCCCATCTTCGAGACTTAAATCTAAGTCAAGGCACATTTTCGTGGGTAATGTCTACTCGAAGAAGAAATAACTAGCTAGAGTCTGTTTTGTCAGGATGAGTTCCATTAACATAGCCTAACCAGCATAAATGATCCAACTCTGGATTATAAAAAAACTGAAAAGGCAAAGGAGTTGAAAAGAGATCGTTAGAGCAATGTTGAGGCTGTAGCCACCAACGTTGTTGCTAAAGGTTGAAAGTTTAAAGCCTACACTATCATCTAATTATATTCTGCCCAAGTGAGAACAATCTGTACGTCCAACTATGTAGGTATCCGAAACTTAAATTAGGTTATGGGGATATTTGTAAAGTTCAAATAATTCTGCTGCCAGCGGTAGACAAAGCAATGATTTCCCAATGAAGCCAGCTGTCACTATAGTCGTGACTATATTAGCCCTTATACACCTGCCACAAGAAAGAGACGAAAGACTGCCTACTGGGTGTGCAGATTGAACGCTAGGGCATACGTCGTAGGTGCCGTAGGGAGTTCTGTTTTCTTGCGATATTCGAGGGATTATTTGGAATTCGCCATGAAGCCTCCTTTCTATAACTATGCCCAAAGAAACCTCCGATCTCAATATTTGGGCGATAAACACTTTAAGTCAACGGCACAGTCTGCCCAGTTGCAGAAGCTGGCATCCAATGTAATTGCATTATGCGGGGCATCAAAAAATACTTTTAAGGCCTACGCAACAACTGGGAAATGTACCCGCTCAACCAAGAAATGAGATATTTATGACCACATTGCAGAGAATGGGTGAGAGGATACCACACTGAGGCGTGCCTTTGTTTACCTTTCGTTGGATGGTGGCACCACCCCAACACCCTGCTGCGTCTTTAGGTATGAAGGCTTCCTCGTCAAACTGTTGTCCTCTTTTACTACCATATACTGATATACTCTTTTATTATTCTGTCATTGAACTTTTACATTGTTATAATTTTAAACTGTTATACTGGTATACTATGATAGTGTTTTTTACCGTAAAACTGTATATTGTCCTTAAATTATTTTGTGGTACTGTTGCAATGTAATCCTGTTATACTGTAATTCTGTTATACTGTTATTCGGTTCTGCTGATCTACTGTTATACTGCTAAAATGTTATATTGCAGTATTCTATTATATAATCCTACTAATATTATAAATGTGAAATTTTGTGAGTATGTGAGTATGTTTATTTCTCTTTTACACTAAAACGGCTAGCCGTATTTCAATACATTTTGGCACACAGATAGGCGTGGATTAATATGTATAAAATAGTTTGAGGAGAGTTGCGATAGGGGTTCTAAAACTATTTGTTTCAAAAAATGGTTATGAAGAGAGTTGCCACCTGTTTAGAGAGTTAGTATAAATCTATTTAAAAAGTTAAATCAAATATTTTTATCAAACGAGAGTGTAAACCACTACCACCACAAAGCCTAATTTAAGAAAATGGTTTTAAAAGGGTTGCCACCACCTATTTTGCAGTTCAAAATCAATTTAATTAACATATTAAATTAAATAGTTTATGTGGGAACCAAATAAATGAGAGGTTTAAGAAAGCCTCTATTCGAAGAACCTTTTGAAGAGGCTTGCCGCCTGTTTGGAAATTTAAAATCAGTTGAATTAAGTTATTAATTAAGTTAGTTTTAAGAAATATTTTAATATGGGTGTCAACCGAGAGAGCTTTAAGAAAACTGGATTTCGAAAATAGTTTTTAAAAGGTTTCTCACCTGTTTATTAGTCCAAAATCCATTCAAGTAATAAATTAAATTAAGTATTTTATATGGTTATCTCACGAAAGGTTTAAGAAAGCGTCATTTCGGAAATATTTTTGGCGAAGGTTGCCACATATTAACAAATTCAAGACCAATTTGATAAACAAGTTAAATGAAATATTTTAATATTGGTGCCAAATATATTTTTTTTTATTGGGGTATCAAACGAGAGAAAGAGCTTTAGTACGAAAATATTTTTTAAAGGGGTTGCCACCTAGTTATAAGTTCCAGATGAATTTACTTACCAAGTTAAGCCAAATATTTTAGTATGGATGGGAAATGAGAGAGGTTTAATTAAGTAAGCTTTATTTCAAAAATATTTTTGTTGCAACCAGTTTCATAGTTCCAGTCCAATTTAATGAAAGGTTGAATGAAACATTAAAATGCGGTTGCCTAAAATCAATGGTAAAATCAATTAAGCTATAAAATTAATATTAAATCCCCAATAGGAATCATAATTTTAAATTTATAAGAAATACATACATACATATATTCCACTTTTCCATATTGCGTATTTGCTTTCTCTTCAAAATTTTAATCGTCATGCAAATCCATCTCTTAATAATATCCGTTACACTTTAATATTTCCTATCAGTGAGATAATTAACTAATTAACAACCCAAATAGCAGCATAGCACTCAGGTTCTGCGTTAGATAAGTATTTGAGTAGTTGAGAGCTGGCAATATTTGCTGATGGCAAAAGCACCAGCACGATGACTGGCATTAGCATCATCACCGGAATTAGTCAGTGAGCGTTAACAACGACGATGCCAGAGCTTCAATTTAGTACACCTTAATGCACACACACGTACACCCCTACAGCCGCATACATAGACACACACATACACACATCCACATCCACATATAGCAAAAAATGATTATTAGCAGGCTTCCACGGCCACTTTTGCTCTCATTTAGCATGCTGCAGTGACTACAGCCACTTGTCCTTGCCCGCGTAGCACAGTGCGCTATGTTTTTATGTATGTACGTATGTATGCGTGTATATGTATGTATATATGCATTGTTTACACTTTACATAGTTACTTTTCCTGCCTGCTTTCAGCTATAGCCAAAAGTGGTGAGCTTATGCGGGACAATATTTAACTTAAAACATCGTCGAAACGGACGAAAGGCTCATAAATAGCATAGCATAGTGCACAGCAGGGGGCTGGCTGCGGGTAAAGACGCATCACTCGCAGGCTGGCAGGAAGCTGCTGCTAATCTGTATGCCTAAATCTCTGCAGCTAAATATTGCCAACAGCATTACCAACTACCGGCAACACCAAGCACTAGGCGATGGACTGTGTCATCATTATCGCCATCGTCAGCATCAACGCTTGCACAGATTTTCCAAACCGAATGAATGCTTCTCGTTTAGTATACACTTACCCTTATGACCTCGGGACATGCATAATGCGGCGATCCACATGAGGTTTCCAACATTGAACCAGCCGGTTGCAGTGAAGCCATTCCGAAGTCGGCAATTTTGATGTTGTTCTTTTCGTCCAATAGCAAATTTTCGGGTTTCAAATCTCGATGACTGCAATGTGTGGAGTAAAGAAAAAAGGAAGGTGATGAAAAATTTACGAATTTCGATGTGCACAAGAGAAAGTATGTACATATATGTATGTATGTAAATATGCTCATGTTTGTAGATGGTGCAAGAAGATTAGACGGAAAAGTTATTTAATGCTTGACGACGTGGCAAATTGGCTGGGCCAAAAAGTTTAGTTGGCAGCGCAACTGGGCGACAAAGCTTTAGTGGCTAAGAGATTACCACCACTAACTAAATATGTTAACTTATCAAAATTTAATAAAATAATTAAAACTAGCTAAGTATTGCACAAAAATTAAGAATATAGAAAAATTATGTAAAATTTCAAAGAAAGCTAAATACTTCGATTTTCATATCTATTTTTTCATTATATCGACCCCTTTGCGCGAATTTATCGTATGTGGAAATTTTTCGAAATTAACATTGGAAAATATCGTACCTAAAATTTCCATAGTTACGCCAATAATTTGATCGTATATTACAATGCATTTTTCCTCCTGGTCGAAATTAACGTATGTGCTACACAAAAGTATTTTGTGGTAAAAAACCAAAAATAAAAAACTCAAATATTTTTAAAAGTAAAAAAACGCTCTCCTGTAACACCGCGCGATAGTAAATTTTATACACAAAAAAGGCACTACATTCGCGAAGCTAGGGACCAAAAATAGTAAAACTGCTTTTTCAGTTTTTCTCTTTGACGTCAGATTTTTTTTTTTAGAGGAATTCGAAATTTGAAAGTTCATTCAAATTTAAAAGTTCATTGCATTTGTGATTAAAAATATGGGTATCAAATGAAAGAGAAAGTTCTGTAGAGTTAAAAAGGATTAAATTTTTTACGCATGTGGACGAATAGGTATTAAAAATGTCCTTTTAAAAATTTAACCTTGAATATATGCTGTGTTTATTTCTGAAAAAAAATTTTATACACGCGACGACAAAATCGAATTTCGTCTCTCCAACTTTACTGGCTTAAAACAATAAAATTAATTAAAATAGCATTTTCAATACATATGTGTCCTTTAATTTACATTGCACTGAATTTTTTAAATAATTTTTCGCCGTCCTTTAAAAAAAAATCCTGAAGTCTGAGAGAAAAACTTTACTATATTTGGCCCATAGTTTTGTGAGTGTATTGATTGTTTTATGAAATTTTTGGTTTTTTTTCGCACGGTGTAATATTTGGTATCTGGCAAAATTTTGGAAAAAATTCGTTATAAGCATAGATTCGCTTGTTTTTTTTTATAGCGATACTCCAACCATCAACATATTATTTTTATATTTACTTTTATCATTTTCAGATTCGGGTGAGGTGTGTTGAGTTTGGGTGCGGTGAGTTCAGTTATGGCTAGTTTAGATGAGGTGGAATGAGCTTGGTGTAGTGAGTTCAGGTGTGGTGTATCTATTTGTGATGCGTTAAGGTATGGTCAGTTTAGATGTGTTGGTTTTTGTGTGTATTTAGTGAGTTCAGGTGCGGCGATTTTAGATGAAGTGTATGAGTTTGGATATTGTTAGTCAGCTGTTGTTAGTTAAAGTGTGGTAAAGGTAAGACTAGGCGTGTGGGGCATATGGGTAGTGAATTCTATCTCTGTATGTCTATCTTTTCATATCATTTGCTTTGTAATAATTTTTTTTCAATTTTCACTCCTATCTTTACTTTTATCGTTATCCTCATACTATCATTTTTCTTTATAGATGTATATATTTTGTGTTTATTTTTTTCTTTATCTACATAAATATATACTATTTCCGTTATATAAGAAAATCTCACGTGCAGTTAAATTTTTCGACAAAAACAAGATTTGGTAAAAAATGGTGCCACACTTATCGTAGGTAATGCATTATCTTCAGTTTTACATAAAGAACCAGATTCCATCGCGAAATTGTGTTTAAATGAAAACTTAAAAACGATATACTGAAAAACGTAAAAATAACACCTCGTACTCATATACCCCTAGTTGCGTGTGTAACGTATACGCTCCGTAGCACCATAGACAGTCAGCTAACACGTTTACTCTACTACGTCTTAATAAAAGGTGATATCATTTAAAAGTAATTAAATATTGGCGTGTAAAATTTTTTTACAGTATTCTTCACGAATATATAAATTAATTTCTTCATGTATACATACTAGGGCTGTGCGATTAATTGATTACTCAAAATTTTAATTAATCATAAAGTAAATAACTCAATTATTCGATTAATTGGAAATTATGATTACTCAAAAGTACAGTTACTCGAGTAATCAAGATTTTTGATTAACCAAAAACAAAAATATTTGAGTAAAATGCTTTATGATTAATCAACATTTCGAGTAAAATGAGTAATCAACATTTCAACTCTTTACATATGTATAAAGTAGTTAAAGTGGAAACAACGTTTCTGTTTTCAAAAATTAAAACAAAAAATTTTTTTCATACACAGAATGTAAAAAAGAAAATAAGCATTTTCCAAAGCAAACTCTATTACGAGCAAAATTATTTTTTTTGAGTAATCATATTTCAAGTAACTCGATTAATCATCGTTTTGAGTAATCAAAATCTTGATTACTCCAGTAATTGATTAACCGAATAATTGATTAACCAACTTGCTCGAGTAATCGAATAATCGCACAGCCCTAATACATACATATAACAATATAAGAATAAATTTCGAGTGTTCCAATAAAAATTTAAAAATTGGAATTTTTGTTTTGCAAATCAGCGTCATCTTAAAATTAGTGTATTTGTTTCATTTGCCAGCACACTAGTTTTATTACCCTGGATTGGTTCGTTTTGGCAAGAAGAACATTTTCACCATTTAATGTTAATATGAAAAATCTCAAACTTTTAAAATGAAAAAAATCGTCAAATCTCCAAAATTACAAAATAGCTGCTGTAATTTTTTTTAACTTTGGTGGCACACTCTTGCGACTTCACAGATATGTGGTATTTGATGCCAACTTTCATTGCCTCTAATATGGAATTTCTATTTGAAAACTTCCCAAAGTTATTTGAAAAAAAACAATTATGATTTTGGAAAGTGACAATGAAAAAATGAGTAATTTCGTCACTTTTTTGCCTAAATAAACATTTTAAAGCTAAAATTATTCAAATACTTGAGTTATTTTTTAATATACTTCTTTCTGGAACTCCATTGATTGAAATGAATGCAGGAAGAATGCTTAAGCGTTTTTTTTTTGTGATGAGAGAAGGAAGTGACACTATAAAAAACAACTCATGAGATTTTCTAATATACATGTGTGTGAGTAAAGTGTTCAAATGTACCTTGATCTTCTTCTGTTTTTCTTGTATCCCTGCCTTTATCCTTTTTTTCATCTATGCTCTCACCTTTACATCCATTCTTGTATTAGCCTTAATCTAAGTCTTATTCCTAAACCGCTTATTAGCACGTCTTTCTAAAATCAATACTTTGTGGATACATTTAAGAAGCACTTGTTTCCGTCCCAACTATTTCCGTTACATTTGCCAATTTACTCCCAACCGCCGCTAAGGAAGTTTCCGTGCAAAAACTATTTGTTTGGCACACGAGCACTACATACCCAAATAGGTATGTACATTAGGGTGGTCGAAAAATGCACGTGAAAAAGTAAAGTCGGAATTTTTATGCTCTGACTCCCTAGAATTGTTCTATACCGGAAAAATATATACCCCCATATATTTATTTTGAAATCAGAAAATTTTTAGAAGTCGCTCAAAGCGCTCAAAATTGTCCATGTATTATATGTAGGGAAAAAACAGCTTTTCGTAATAACGGTATAGAATTCTTGAAAATCAATATTTTTCGATCGGAAAACTCTGGGAATCTCCTGAAGAGGACCCAATAACAATACCCAATTATTAATTTAACCGTTTTTTCATAGTAACTATATTTTATATGTCGGCTAAAACCCCAAAAGAATGCCAGAAAACGCAATGGGGATAAATAAAAACTCTATGGTAATAAAAAATAGTTAAATAAATAATTGGGAATTTTTATTTAAAGTCCGAACCGATCCGAAAAATATTGATTTTCAAGAATTCTATACCATTTCCACGAAATGTTGTTTTTGCCCCACATAAAATACATGGAAAATAGTAGCTGTTTATATTTTCTCGATATAGAACAATCCTAGGGGGTGAGAGCATTAAAATTTCGACTTGACTTCTTTTGGACCACCCTAATGTACATACAACTCTTCAATCATTTATCAACTATATTCATTCATTTCACTTACCATATTGAATGTGAGTGACAAAAATCCAGCGCTGAGATTATTTGACGGAAAAATTTACGTGCCTCCTTCGGCGTCAGTCGTCCTTTTTTCACCAGATAATCGAATAATTCGCCACCAGAGACATGTTCTAATATTAAATACAAATATTTCTTATTTTCATAAACCTCGCTCAATCCCAAAACGTGTGGATGATCAATCAATTTCATAATTGCAATTTCACGTTCCACCTTAAAGGGAGAGACGTAGAAAGTGAGAAAGAAGAAAGGTAAGAATATTAGTTAAATTAAGAAAATTAAGCAAATCGTACTGCGTAAGTAGTAAATTTTACATAATGTATTGCAGTATGTGATGCAAGTATTATTGCTGTGGTAAAATTATACCCAAACTGGTCTGCGTAACTTCATTAGATTGTGCTTTATTTTTAGTATTCATGGGATATGCAATAGCTAATCCAGTGATTTCATAGAGACCAGCTTAGTATTTAATTGCATTTTAATTAGGTTCATATTTACGCGTTTCTACACGCACTAATAAATGCTCTTATATTTATGCACATGTACATGTATAAACTTGTAAATATGCGTTTAAAATTGCTGAATTGCTTGCCCCTACTCTATTGGGATGTAGCCTATTTACAGGCTCATTCAAAACAATTTATATGCAGTTGGCATAGGCTTTCGATTGTAATTAAACTGATATTGTGTGAAATTGGCTGGTGTGCTGTAAATATAATTTTTTTTTTTGTGGTGAAATTTATAAAATTAGCTGTTCGGTTGTGTTATGCGAATAAATTGAATTATATTTAACAAGGGAATTGATTGTGACTAATTACAGTATATATTTGAAATTTTATTTCCGCTATAAATATGCATGTGTGCCAAAATTGTTGAGTTTTTTTTTTCCTAAAATATTTGACTCCATAACTTATGTTTCTTCATATCCGATATAAAAACAAAAAAATTAGTACAATACATAGTATCATGAATCCTACTGATATTATAAATTTGACAATTTTTGAGCGAGTGAGTGACTGAGTGAGCGTGTGAGTGTGCCTGCCGCGCACGAATTTCAAAGAAATTTAGCAAACAGATGGGCTATAACCTCGATTAAAATACAGCATATGGTTTGGTGAGAGTTTCCACCTTTTTAAAAAGATGAAATAAAGAAAATATCACTATGACGTGGGTTTCAAAATGGTAAAAAATTTAAAATCTCTTAATTAATAAGTGAACTGAAATAGCACAACAATATAGATGTCAAACGAAAGCGCTTCAAGAACGATTTATTTCGAAAATATCCTTCAAGTAAATTATTTTAAGATGAGTATCAAACGAGATGGGCTTCACGTGGAAAATATTTTTAACGAGCGTTGCCACCACTTTAGGTATTTAAAATCAATTTATTTGACAAGTTAAATTAGATTGGAAAAATCGTCCATGGAAACCGAAGTTATAATCTCAATATGGCAGTTAATCATTTAAACGTGGTCCTGAGCAATTGTTTCGAGCTGAGTTGTCCCATATATTGGCCACAATTAAAGCCAGTTTGGTGGAACGAAGAACTGGGACAACTTAGAACGATGGCACGGAAACTCTTCTACAAGGTCAAACGTAGCCGACGTGAGGAAAACTGGAACAAATATAGAACCAGCTTTAACAAATACGAGAGGGCCTAACAAAAAAGACGAATGGACAAAGTTCTGCGCAGCGCTGGTAACCACAAATTAGGCGTCGAGGCTCCGCAAGGTACTGACCAGACTGGACTCCTGGAAGGTCTCTAGGCGGCAAACCCTTGAATGTTTAATAGGCACCCACTTTTCAGGTAGCATGGACCAAATTGTCTCTAGAGCTTAAGGCAGACATACTTGCCGCCTTTCTGGATATTGAAGGAGACTTCAATAATATCCAAACGTTGATAAGCAAGGCACTCTCTCAGCACTAGTGATGTGCTGAGTCGATACTTTTGAGTATTGATTAATACTCGGTACCGATTTAAAAAGTATCCAATACTTTCAATGCAAGGTACCTAAACATTTAGGCTTGCAACAAGAACGCATATAGACAAAAAATAAAAGCAGTTCAGGGGAGCCTAGTCTATCAAGAGCCGAGTGTATGGGCTAATAGAGCTTTTAATGCTGATTCAAATATATAAATTTTTCGTCGCCACAATGCAGAGAAACTGTTCCTTATTTGAAACTTGCATTTTTCTTGAATATTAGATCTAGATATTAGATAAGGTCAAGAGGCGATTATTGTGTTGTTTGCGACAGCAATATTCTCCATATGCGGTTTCCACACTGCTCAGTACAAATGTTCAACTTTTGAGAAAGCATCATTCTTCATAAGTAGGCAGTGTCACGCCCTTTTTCTAAAACTTTTATTATTGCCTTTTTTTAAGGGTCAAAATTCTACTTCACATACTATTCTTCATCAATTTGGGTCCAGTATTTGCGGAAATATCGTAGTGTATATGAGAGGCGGACGCGGTTACCTTGCGATTTCATCCATTTTCGATACACCCTACTTTTTGGATAAGTGGAAACCTATACACCGAATTACCTTCCTTAAGTATAAGTATATCTATAAGTATTACCAAATACTCTCACTTAATGTCTACCAAAAAATGCATGACCTAAATAAGCAATGCAGATAGAAAATATTCTTTTTAAGCTTGCTATGTTACGTCAAATCTGTCGGTTGTTGGAACAAACTGTCGCCTGGCTGCCTAACATTTTTTAGCCACCATCACTACGGAAACATTTGTAATTTTTTTTTTTTTTTTTGTACTGCAAAAGTCTCAAAAACCAATAATAAACCACTGTCTTCAACGCTCATATGTATCTACATACACTGAAATGCTGCTATGCAATTTTCCGCAACTAAAACTTACAAATTTACTTCCTGAATTTTTTAAAATAAATTTAATAAGGGCAGAAGGTCATTAACCGCATTTCCGAAGCTATATTATAACCATGGCGTACAACAGAAACTGTGTAGCCAATTAAAGTTGGCTGCCCACACAACCCGACAACCCACGATTAGCATTTTTTGTTTCCTTTTATTTATTTCCGTTTTTGTTATACCCAATTTCTGTTAGTCAACTATACTGCATAGGTACATATGTATGTACATATATTTGTAGAAAAACACGTGTCACTAATGAAAATTTATATCCGCTTCGCATACCAGCAACCGCTCGACAAACAATACTATGAGCATTAAAAAACAAAGGAAAAATGCAGACAAAGCAAAAACTATAAAACACAGAAGAATAAAGAAAAAAAACAAAAAAAAAACCAAAATAAAAGTAAAAAATATTAAACACAAAGCCGAAAATAGCCAACCCTGCTGTGAATTTTTATGCGCGCAATACCCTTGAGAATATCAGCAAAAGCTTTAGGCTTTTGGGTGAAAATAACGATAACTTCAAACCTATGCAGACATATGAATGTACGTGAATTTACTTGTACAAGTTAGTAGTAAAAAAACACATGAAAGCAAAACATTTAAACGATAATCGAAAAACTAGTCAAACTCAAAATGTTTGTGGAAGTATGTATGTATATCGCTGACAAGCCACGGTCAAGTGTGAGAATGTGTGTCGTAACTACTGTGTATAAGTAAAGGCCGCTCAAACAGTTTGCGTGCGGCAGTCGATTTTGGGCCGACAGGCAGCCCGGCCAGCTATTAAGCAGTTAGTGAGTATATGCATTGGAGAAAGGGCGCACAAATATTTTTTTTTTAGAAAAAAAAACACTAAACAATAGAAATGGATCCACACACTATGTATGTATGTATGTATGTATATATGTAGGTAAGCATGTAGCAACCAATTCCATGCAGGGAATTGAAGGGGTTTTTGTTGTTGGCATGTAGGGCTTATTGCATATAAAATAAATGAGTTTGATGGTTGAAAGGAGTTTATTGGGGATAAAAGAATTGGAGAATGGCTTATATTTATTCGATATGCTCAAGGCAATAGAAAATTGATATGAAAGGATTTGCCTACATACTAGAGAACAATATTGCGAAGAGAAAAATTCGATTAAAATGTAGATATGTATATAGTCGCGGTTCTTTATTTTTCCTAATCCAAGAAACTGCAAGCAATCAATCAATATACAAACAATATAAATACAAAACAAAAAACACAATTACGGAGTACAAAATTAAAAAATACAATAACACACAAAATAGAAAAAGAAAAATACCAAATACGAAAAAAGAAATAAGAAATAACTACAATGATCCAAATGAAAAATAGAGAATGCTAAATACAAAATTGCAACATGAGAATACAAAATAGAAGCTATCGATGGCTGCGCGGAGGATCGACCCATCTCCGCAGCCAGTTCGAAAACGCCCTATCTCAAAAAACTTTTTAAGAACGCCTTATTTAGATATGATTTTTTATATATGTAGAGGAGATACTATGCCTGCTGTGAATATGTATGAGATCTATGCCTGCTGTGAATATATAAATTTTTTCAAATGCAGTAATATATTAAAGGAAAATTTTCAGATGCTCATGACAGGTATGAAGCCTTCGGAATAGCCGAAGACAGCGCTGCTCTTACTTGTTTTTTTTTTAGATTTTATAAAGTAGTTGCAAGATATATAGTTTCTATATAAAATTGAAAATACCCCGCGCCAAACGTGCCCCAAATGTGACATAATATCAAGAAATCAGGGCTTAGAAAAAAATCTTGTAATGATTTGTCGCTCGCCTCTAAATACAATCTAATTCAAAATACAGAATACAGAGCTCAAGGGATAAAAGAAAATACCAATTTCAGAAACAAAAAACCGTTAAGTTAGTTTAGGTTAGCTGACTAGCCACTGCGTGGCTTCACAGCGGGCACATTAAACAGCTAATCACTGGCAATCCTCTTGGTAAATTGCAACAAATTATTGCACCCTTTTGGCGGCAGCTTCCAGAGTGTGCAGAAAGCCTGCTCCCAGGAGACTAATCTGCTGCCATCTAAGAGCACGGCACTCGCAGAGGATATATACCACTGTCCCCGCTTTCGTTCTGCATCTCTTACAGATTCTATCATTGGTCAGAGCCAGTTTAAAAGCGTGCGATGTCAACAGGCAATGCCCAGCACCCTCCCTCTTGACGTATAGGAGAAACTTCGTGAGCTTTATGTCATACGCTTGGCACATAATGCTGGGCACTTTGCTGTCTTGTGGTTTAGTGTACACCTTCTGCACCTTCCGCATCATGAAGAGATTCAGGTCCGTTAAACCGCTTGGAGAGGAATCGGCATGACTACCCCCACAGCACTTTCTTTTAGCAAACCTGTCGGTTTCCTGGTTGCCAGTGCCACCAGTGTTTCCCGTAACCCAGTACAGCTGTACGTCTGTGCCAGTGTGAGGCACATCTAAAGCTACCCTGCACTCCTTCAGACTTTTTGAAGAATAGCTGTGCGCTAGAAGTACCTTTATCGCAGCTTGACTATTAACATATAGATTTACCCGTTTATTTGACAGATTGCTGCTCAGTAGCTCCACCGCTCCCTTTATGGCTAGTTTTTCCGCCTGAAAAATGTTGTAGTAGTGCGGCAGCTTGTAGAATTGCTTGAGACTGAGTTCCGCGCATAAGACTACCACCAATGCGCCTCGCTCAATCTTCGAGCTGTCTGTATTTCCGTTCACCGAACTAGCATTCCTCGTGCCCTTGCGCCAGCCTTCGACCTCTATAGTGGCTTCGAAGTTCGTCTTGAAGTACAAATCTAAGGTAAAAACGCCTGAGCAAATTTGATGCTGATTTATCAGCATAGAGCACTTAGTTGACGTTCGCCTAAAAAAATTTAGTTTAAATGAGTCAAATCACGCCATCTAGGCGGATAATTGACAGACCCGTTTCTTGATGCCAAATAGGAGTTTTTCAATTCTGGATATATTGGATTCGAGGATGTAGTATCCAATACCAAAAGTGTTATTTAGTAGAACTAAAATGAATAGCATGCTTTTGTTGGTTCCATCTAGTCCTTTCCTTATGTTAAAGCCAATGTCCCTATTCAAGTAAATCAAAATAATAAGAATAATTTTCGGTTAGTTTGCTAAGAAGTGGAATAAAATCCGAAGTAATCAGGGTGTTTCTTCATTTCAACACTTTTCTTCGAAATTAATAATTTTTCAAAATGAGATCAAAAAGCAACTTCTCCGATGCCCACACGTCCACATATAAGCTTGGATCTTGAGGAAAATACGTGTACCTATTGAAGTGAAGCGGGCTGTAAAAGCCCAATTTCTTAACCAATAAAATAGTTTTAAATCACCAAAAAACTTTTGCACAATTTTTTAACTACAAATTTACGCCTTGTTTTTGCAGGAATAAAAAATGATGCCCAGTTTTTTACTTTCATACGTTTATACGTATAAGCGACGAGCGAGTAAAGCCATTCAATACGCAATTTTTAATTAAAGCCCAAAGAACGCCAACTTCCTCCTTGGTATATGTATGCCTGCGATGACCATACCTGCGCAATATCTACAGGTTTTTTCTTTCCTTCTCACAATTCATTAAGTCGACATGGCGTATACGTGACACTAATTTGGCAACATTTTAAAAGTTAAGTTGTATGTCCAGATGTATGTAGGTATGTTTGAGTGAGTGGTTTAACAGTAAATTTTCATGTTCCTATCGTGCCACTAAAAATAGCCACTAATGTAAACGCCGCACAAATGTTACCGCTGCGTGTCTGTGCTAATGACTTATATCGTTTGCACTATCGCTGTCGCCAGCGATACCCGCTCGTGGCGCGGATCTACAAACAACTTATTGCAATCCATTTGCTGAGATAGTATCTACCGTTGTGTGTTCATTTTTTTTTTTTGTTATTTGCTACTTCGCTCTCTACCACTGCACTTACCTTCATTAATACCGACTCGCTGAGCTTCTCGCGATTGATTATTTTAATGGCCACCTTACGACCGAGCACACAGTGCACGCCCAACTTAACCAGACCTATAAAACAAAAAATGAGAAGACATTAATAGACGAAAAGATAAATTTACGTGCATGTTTGCGGGTAAGAAGGAGGAGGAGAAAGAGGCGTTAGGAGAGTTGGCGTCAAACGGGAGGCATTGAAAATGGTTAATTTTTTTTTGTTTTTGTTTGTTTCAAATGCCACAAACACACACGCATAAACTAACGAGTAGTGCTGGACTTCATATGCATACGAAATTTATGCAGCGCTAGCAATCGATTGTTGCCATACACTCTTACAGGCATGCATAAGTGCAAATGTATGCACATTAGGCCGGATCGGTAGATAGTTATAAAAAAAAAATGGAAATGTGGAAGATTATGTGAGAATCAAAAAAAAGGAAAAATGAACCACTCTAACTACCGCTTTCATCAGCAATTTAAGAGGAAAAATGTTTTGTTTTGTATTTTGTTAGTTTTCATTTTAAATTCAAATGAAAAAAATTATTTTTCACCTATATATCGAATGTGAAACTGGCTACTAGGACCACTAAAGTATATTTTTGGACGGCCTTAAAATTGTGTTTTTTCATAAATTTTGCATTTGATACACTATTGTTATCAATGATATATTGCTGTAGTCACAGTAATAACACCGACAGAACAATTTTTTCATTATTCTCCGAATAACATTTATTAGAAGAAAATAGCGTAGTCATCATGCTCCCTACAGCAATATATCACTAATGAAAATCGCGCATCGAATGTCAAAGTTGAGGCAACAAATTAACTTAAGGGTGGTTAAAAAAAAAATTTAATTTTAGAGTGGCCAAAAATAAATAAATTCGGTTTAAGGTGGTCCAAAAAAATTGTTGTCGAGACTCTCACTTCACACAAATACTCGAAAATAAGATTTTTGAACCAACTTTTTCTTGCGAACCGTTTTAATATAAATTTGTATGTCTGACGTCGTTATGTAGCATTCAACGCCGTCTGTACGTCAATTGGTTATTCTTCCCAACGGACGTACTGCTTATGCATGTGTAATTGGCACAGTGGCTGAGTATTTTCACAGTTCATTGCATACGTACATAAGTATGTAAGCTTGTGTCTGCTGTGTGTTTGTGCCTATGTTTATGACATATACATATGTATGTATTGAACTCTCCATTCCTCCTTTTTGCCCCTTTTTTATTCTACCCCCCACTTCACTACTCTTTCATTGTTTTTCTGCACATTTGTGCTCTCTTATAAATACATAGATTCACTTACCCGTTTGTCCTTTGCCCAGCGTCTTCTCCAGACGGTATGGCCCCACAAATTGGCAATTTTCCGCTGTCGAATTATTTTCCTTCTGCATCTTGTTGCTGTTATTTGCTTTTGCTGTTGCACTTGCTTTTTATAGTAATCCAGTTTTTGTTTTTGTTCTCGCTCCGTGTTTATTATGCCGCCTGGCCGCCGCTTACGCCTCTTTGCTGCTACTTCGACTACACTACTACACATACGCTCTGGCGCTAGAATTTCCATACACATACACCTACAAAGAATTTATTTAAGCACTTTACTTGTTCTCTCGGTCTTTTTTTCTTTTGGTTACAACTTTTTTTTCAGCACACTTCGTGCTGTTTTTGTTTTTCTCAACGCTAACTTCAATGATTTTCAAATGTTTGCTTCTTCCTAAATTGTATTTAAGTTTGTTGCGCTTAACTGTACATACATACATATATGTACTCGTCCATTCCTCCTTCAGCGTGCATATGTGCCATGTGTGTAGGTCGTGTGGGCGCCCACCTTCTCTGTCGCGTCGCTGCTTCACTGCACTATTTGGGTTAAAGTTCTTTTTTAATTACTTTTTCACTGCAGCTCACTTGAAATTGCGCTTGTTGGTGTTTTTCTCTTTGCACTTTTTTTTCTGTTTTGAAATCTTTGGCGTTTTATTGGCTTTTCCTCTTTCACGTCCGCACTTACAGTTATACTGCAATTGCATTTACTTTCATCGCTTCTTTGAATTTCCCCTTTTATATGCTGCTTTGACGCAGAGCTTTCACAATCGTCGCATTAATTGGTTTTGCGAAAAAAAAAATCTTTCACATAAAAGCCCGTTTCGGTTGATTTAATTTTTCATTGCCTCAGCTGCAAAATAAAATTTTAATAAAAATAGGTATTGATTAGAAAAATGCAATCGGACTTGTTAATTTGGTTTGGTGAAAGAGAGATGGGAATATGAATTTGCATTTTTGTCAACGAACATACTCGTATGTAGAAATTCAAATGAAAAACAAGTAAGAAAGTCTAAGTTCGGGCGGAGCCGAACATTAAATACCCGGCGCAAGTATTAAATATATGTTTTCCACCTTTCCGAAAGCTACCGCTACATGATAAGCCGGGGTGTATACATTTTAAGTAAATTAGCGTCCTTAAATTTCGAAATATTGAAATTTCAAGCATATCTGAAATTTACCGTTATATGAAAAGCGGCCTCAATTTTAGTCCGATTTCAACAATTTTCAACGGTTTGCTTTTATGTGGCAAGCACAATAACCATACCGAGCTTGGTACAAATTGCTAGAACGGTTAGCGAGATACATATATGTGATCACAAGTGGGCGGTGCTACGCCCATTTTCCAAAATTTTGTCATAAACGTATTTCTTGGTAAAGAATTGTTGCAATCATCAATTTTGAATAAATTAGCTTCAATATTTACTGATTTATCGAAGATTTTGTATTTCTCGAAATTACCGTTATATGGGATGTGGGCGTGGTTGTTGTCCGATTTTAGAAATTTTCGGCCAGTTGGTATGCTGTACCAGGA